GCTGCCAGTCAGCCCATAAGCACAATCAAATGTTCTGGGATTCCCATTCTATTCAAGTTAGCCACAATTTGTTGTGATCCACACAGCCAAATGCTTTGCATAGTCAATGAAACACAGATAGACATTCTGGTATTCTTTGCTTTCTGCCAAGATTCATTTGACATTGATGATAATGTCTCTAGTGCCACAACTTCTTCTAAACCCAGCTTATATTTCTGGTAATTCTCTGTCAATGTACTGTTCCCGTTGTTTTGGGGTAATCTTCAGCATGATTTTGCTTGCGTGTGATTTTAGCAATATTGTTTGATAATTTCCACACTCTGTCAGGTCACCTTTTCTTGGAATTGGAACAAATATGGATCTCTTGCAGAAGTTCTTGTCAGGGAGATTCCCAGTTGATCTGCACAGACAAGGCCTTCCTGGACTCTGGGATTCTTTGCAGTGTGCAAAAAATTTCCAGCATGAAAGGGATCCATGCAATTCCTGTTCTGCCAAAGATTTTTCTGAGTCAAAAGCTATAGGAAATGGAAAGTATCCTCAATAGGTTCCCTCAAAATTTGGGGAACCGAGAATATGAGGCTGAATTCTCCACTGCACCTTGATTGGTAAACTTTCAGGGAGTCATTATTTCCCTCAAAATTGGGGGAAGAGTCTGTCTTGATGAGTCCATTTATGATAAAAGCAGCATCAAAAGATGGCTACCATAAAGTCCTTCCCTCTCTATGAATGCCAGGCCCTCATCTAGAGGTGGAGCCTCTCCCTCCATCTCCTTGAATCTGGCCTGACCTGAATTTGCAAGATCATCAACTTTATTCAACTCATTGCTGTCAAGTCAATTTGGAACCAACTCAAAGTTGAATCTCCAGGGGTTTTTCACAGGCTATAAATCAAACAACAAAGACTACCCATTTTTCTGCCTTAAAGTAGCTGATGGATTTGATTCCACCCGCCTTTGGGTTGGCAGTGCAACTCCTTACCACTAGGTCACCAAAAAGGACCTGGCAATTGATTCCCATAAGCATTACAAGCTGGGGAAAGTGTTTCATGCTCTTTAACTATCCTATGGCTCTGGTCAGGAAAACCTAAGTCCTTAAAATGACATCTTTGTTTTTTAATACTTTGAAGAAGTCTTCTGCAACAGACTTATCCGATGCAATACATCTTTACTTTTTATTACCATCTTTCTTTATTTCTTGATGGCTTCCATGGGCATTGATTTGGACCCAAGTAAAATTAAATTCTTGACAACTTGCTTTAGTGCCATTTATCAGGTCCCAACTCATAGCAGCCCTACATGCATCAGAACAAAACAACCCAGTCCTGTGCCATTCTCACAGTGTGTACTGTGCTTGGACTCATTGGGGTTTTTTGGCGGGTTTTTTTTTTGTACGAGAGAAAAATTTGAGTTTAGAATTAGCCAGCTAGACTCAGTTTAGATGATTCCAATTTTGTTGGCAACATCCAAAGCATCATAGTCAGGAGCAAGTTGAACATGGACCTTCCTCTTTCTATCAGGCCTACTGAAGGTGTTGACCTTGGCACATCAGTGTCGTAGAGCTTCTTTACATCTTGAGTTTGATTTGGTACTTGTTGGCCTTGACATCCACAATGAACACAAGTGTGTTGTTATCTCTGTCTTCTTCATGGCTGACTCAGTGGTCAGGGGAAACTTGATGATGCCTTAGTGTTTCTCCAGGAGGCACTCTTCTGGTGTTATTTGGGCTGCCTTTGGAATCTCAGCATCTTAGGCCACCAGAAGGTGGGGGACATGTGGATCTTCTTTTTATATGTGGCTGTGGGTGCCCTTCAGGACTGCCTTCTTGGTCTTTAACACTTTTGTTTTGGCTTCAGTTTTGGGAGGGGCAAGGTCTTCCTTCTTCATTTTTGGTGTCATATCATTGTTGTTGTTTTTTTAATACTGATTTATTTACAAAGTTTGAATACATTGTTTTTCACACAAGATCTTTCTCATTTCCTTCATCCACCCACACATCAAATTGTGCGACCCTATGATTAACACCTCCCCTCTGCTTCCACCCTCCCCCCACTTGGATCTTCATACTCATTCTACAATAATGGTTTTATACAGTATTTGCCCTTATGGGACTGAGTTAGTTCACTCAGCAAAATGCTCTCCAGTCCCTCTCAAGTTAGGTAGTAAGTTACAAAACTATTGCTCTTGCGTGTCACATAGTATTCCATTGTGTGAATGTACCACAACTTTTCAATCCATTTGTTTGTGGTTGGACATCTGGGTTGTTTCCATGTTCTTGCGGTGGTGAATAACGCTGTTATGAACATTAGTGTACAAGGGCTCATTGGTGAAGCTATAACATCAACTAAAAATTTTGTTGCCATTTCGAGCCCTGACTGGATTCATAGCTGACCCTCCAGTAGGTTTCTGATGTAAATCACATGGAAGATTGCCCATCTTTCTCCTGCAGTACCTCTGGTGGATTCAAACTGCCAGAGGCGTGCAGCCTTTGGGTTAGCAGGGCAACTCCCTATGGACTAGGCCACCAGACACATATTTCTTGTGTCAACTAGTGGAGTTTAACTCTTCCAATCTAACCTGCTAGTCTTCAGGAAGCATCAAAATCACTCAAAGAGCTTATATACAATGTGTATTCTTAGAGCTCTCTGAAGTCTATTCTAGATTTTGGGTGAGGCTTGGGGCTGGGTGGATTTAATAAACAACCCAGGTAATTCACACTCAGTGTTTGAAATACTGCTTTCAACTAGGGAGATCCATCATCAGCTACTGCCAAGTCAGGTCTAACTCATGACAGCTTCATGTAGTCATGACTGCTCCATGGGATTGTCAATAGCTGGTATTTTTTAGAAATAGACTGCCAGGTCTTTCTTCTGAGGTACCTGTGGATGGACTCTTAACTACCAGTCTTTCAGTTAACAGCAAAACATGCTAACCATTTGTGTGCCTCCCAGGGACTTCAAACCAGAGATTGGTAAACTTTTTCTATAAATTGTCAGACAGTAAATATTTTCAGTTTCCATGGCAGATGTAAGGAAAGACTTAACATTATTGTTAGTTCAAAAGTTGTCATAGACAGTAAGTAAACAACTGGGTGTGGCTGTTCTAACAAAGTTTTATTCACAAAAATAAGCAGTGTGATGGATTCAGCCTGCAGGCCATAGCCTGTAGCCCTTAATTCTTGTTAGCCCACATCTCTTCTGTATAATAAAGACACACACACATGTGCATAAAAAAGTGACAGCTCTTTAATTTAAAATGATGTCCTGGAAGGAACTAGTGGGTTCATATGCTCCAGGCATCCTCTTCTATTAGAACAGGCACAATATTGGCTCAGATTTTTCAACCCCGAAGAAAAAACAAATCAAGCTGCAAATCAGCAGGAAGTTCCTGCAGCTACCATGCTAGGACCATCAGGCTCCACAGGGAGCAAAGGACCCAGCTGCCAGGGCTGTCACTTTAAAGCCACACTGAGAAGTGTTGTTCTTGCCGCTGAAAGCTCTCACCAGGCCAGACTCAGCTCCACCTCTGACACTACGTGTCTGCCTCCACAGAGAAGCTGTGGGCACGGTGGTCACCTCCCAAACCATCCTGGAGGGCGTGTCCACACAGTGAAGGTGGGAGTCTCAATGCACATGTCTAGACATGCGGTGTCTCACGCTTGTTTACCTGCCATCTAGAGCCTCGAGTTGTACTCATCAGTCATGTATGGCCAAGGCACTGGCAGTAAAATGGCAAATTTGGGAAACAATCTGGGGAGACACAAGGCCTCCATGCTAAATGGCGGTTCTGAAAAGGAAACAAGCAAAGGCCATCTGGATAAAATCCTTAACAGATGTCATTAGTTTCATCTCAGAGGAGAAAATGGAAAGATGGAATGGAAAATGCTACTTTCCTCCATATTTCAGGTCTTTCTGCTTTTGCCCAAGCAAAGGGTGAAGGAGAGTGAAGAAGGGACCTCACCTCTCAGGTTCACTTCAGCTTCCCCACCTCTTCTCTACAGGGTCAGTCCAGACTTTGGATTAATTTTTGCCATGAGGTGAAGCATATTATGTCAAGGGAGAAGAGTCCAGAATGGGATTCTGAACAGACTTTTTTTTTTTACACTGTATTTTGGGAACACAGAGAGTCTGTGAGAGGAAAGGAAGGAGGGTGTGGCCTCCTAAAAGGTGCTCATGGACAGAGCAGATACTACTGCTTTGCAGCAAACCTGGACCCACTGCAGCAGAACAAGCTTCCACTACTCAGTTCTCTAGATTAGACTGCACTCCAAAGTCTGATACTTGACCTGAGTCAAAAGATATTAGGACAAGCCACCAAAGGTCTGCCCAGGACTCTGGAAGGCCAGATGACAGCCAAGCCCACCCCTCTGCACTGAGCATCCCTGAGCCTGGCTAGCTACTCCAGGTGAGTTTCTGAGCCATTGCTGGTGGCAATCTGGATGTATTGCAGGACAACCCAGGGCACTAACAAAGATCTTGTTGTGACCAGTGGTGGAGGATGAGAACAGAGCAGTAACAAAAGTCCCCTGAGAACTGAGGCATGGTTAGGAGAGTGGCCATTTTCTCCAGCACACTGCCTCTCAGAGAGATAGATATTAATTCACTACTCCAGCACCACTGACGAGATCTTACTTAAAATGATGGCACCTGGGGGAGAAGGCTCAGTGAAAGCCTCTACAGCTGTCTTCAACCAAGTCTGGGTCCTGTCACAGGCTCGTGGCAACACACATCCCTTCATCAGGGCCTGGACTTCCAGCCAACTAACTTGCCAGGGTCTTTAGCAATGATGCTCAAGTGTTGGAGGGGTTGAAGAGTTTGGGTCCTAGGAGCCCAACAGTTCCTCTTCCCCATCTTCCACATGTCACAGAAACACTCTAGGCCTCTAAATTTCTATTAGAGTGAGCTGTCCCTGTAGCTGCCTTTAGCCCAAGGCCAATCACAGATCTCACTTACAGAGCCTAGAGGTTTCATTCAGTCACAGCAGAGGGTTGACTTAACCCTTGAGCTCATTGGATGATGCCATCTGGCTGCCCATTCTGGGCCACCTGTCCAGGGTCAGAGGCTGGCATGGGGTTTGGTGTGTTGCTCTGCAGGTAGCGGCGGAAATCTTTGATCATGGGCCGAAGGACCTGTATGAGCACGCTCAGGGCTGCCTGGGTGCCCTCCATGGCCTGGGCCTGACGCTCCTGGGCACAGGCTTGCACCTCCTGAGAGCGGCGGATCATCTGCAGAAGGTCATTCTGCTGCTCCAGGTGCTGGGCAATCTCCTTCACGTGAAGATTGGTAACCCGCTGCTCCTGGATCAGCTTGGCCGAGTTGAGGGCAATGCGGCTCTTGAGTGCCTGTGGCTTGACTGATGTGTCTGCATGCTGGGTCATCATCTCCACAGGCGCCTCCGCTGGCAGGGGCTGAGCGGTCTCAGTTGTGCAGTACTCCACCACTCCCTCCTCCAAGGTGTGGTAGGTAGTCTCTGTGGGGACTGCAGGGGAGAAGGAGTACAGGCAGAGGAAGGTCATTTCCTAGAAGGAATGAAGCAGGCTGCATGGGGTGCCATTAAGCTCTGCCCTAGACAGAGACAAAGGGGAATTCAGGCTTCCCCTCACTTTACAGCTATTCATGTGTAAATCTAGAATCTAAGGGATTTAGACTTAGAATCTTAAACAGCTTGGTAACCAAAGCTCAGTTCTGTGTCTGGCAAAAGCAAATACACTAACAGTGATGTTGTAATGTGCCATAGAGCCTGAACTGAATTATCACTGGCTCTCCAGTGAATTTTCAGAGGTTATATATCACACTGGAGTAGACTGCCCATCTTTCTACCAAGAAGCAGCTGTTGTATTTGAACTATGTGCTTTTGGACTGGCAGTGTAACTCCTTGCCCATTAGGCCATCAGAGCTACCTCACTAATGATAGAAATTATGTGAGAACATTTACTATGTGACAAGCAATGGGCTAAGCCATTTACACCCAACTCAAAGATGTTTAATAATGATTCCAAAAGGTAGGTACTGTCACTCCATTTTCAGAAAGGAGCAAACAGATTCAGAAGCATGACAGTGACTTGCATAAAATCACACAGCTAATTCAGCAGTGCCAAGATGTGAACCCAAGTCTCTCTGATATTAGTCTAATGTGCTCCTTACCACACCACTGATCTGCTTCAAGCTAAACAAGGCACCTTAGAGGCAAGCCAAGGACACGCTCTATATAGTGCCAGACAGACAGATCTCCATATAAACTGCGGCCAGACTTCCCTTGCCACCTTCAATGCTTTCTTGGCCTCTATATTCCCTGCAAACAGAAAAGGAATAGCAGCAAAAGAGCCCAAGACGTGCTTCACTGTCTCCTTGATCACCTTGATCAACAGGTAACATGAAAGTCCTCCTGTTGCAGAAAAAGTGATTTGGAAGATGATTTAGGCCATTTCTCAATACACCTGAGAAACAACACCTTTCTATGAGAAACTGTGGGGGTGACAACTCTCATAGACATCCAATTTTCCCAAACCCCACAGAGAATCAATGATTGATATAGTTCATAGACTCATAGTCTCAAATGGATAGTCAAAGGTCACACATATAAATGGTGCTCTGGAATTTAAAAAATTCCACCAGATGAAGTTCTGCTGTTCACAGCAGAGAATGTTTGAAAGGATTCTAGGTGCACGGTTTTGGGCCTCTGTGCATGTACATGTGAATCAAGTGCCTCCATCTTCCAAGCCAATTATCAACTCTATGGCTCCCAGCCCTGCTGGAATTCTCCCTACCAGAATACCTCTTCTTCTGAGGCCTTGGGTTTTCCCAGCTGACCATACAGTTATTCATACTATGTGTCTTATCAATCCTACTAGAATATAACTGGCCTCTAGTCCTTTAGTCCTCTGCACCTTTAGATGCTGTGGTAATCCTAGGATCCAGCAGAAGGTTTAGCACAGAATAAGTGCTAATGTTTGATGAATGAATGAGTAGATTACCAACAGGAAACCATGAGGTTCACAGGGACATAGCCTGATGAAGGCTCACACACTGAAAAGACTGTCTTTGTCTGTCAAGAATGAATGTCCATTTGGGCATTACTATTTCCATTTAATCATTTGGCAAATATCCTGACTGCCTACTATGTGCCAGGCCTTTGGCAACTATCCTCACAGCCTACTATGTGCCAGGCCTTGTGATAAGTCCTGTGGGAATAAATGGCCTAAAATCATTGTCCTCAGTCATCAGGGATAACAGAGTGTAACAACCAAGGATAAGTGATAGACATAAATGGTGGCAGGCACAGTAGAAGGCTATCCAGCTCATTAGCACTTCCGACTATGTACAGAGGAAATCCCAAAGAGAATAGGGCACTTATTTCTGGGAAGCTCTTAAAAGGACCGCTGGTGTTCCAAAACCACCATATGACCTTTGACCCTTGGCAGACAACACTACCCAGGCTGCTCCAGCTTTTGCTGACCCTTCCCCTTTATATATGCCAGACTGGGCAGGAGAGGTCACTCACTCTGTGTCAGGGTGACCGTGGTTGCAGCTGCAGTGGCTGTAGGTCCAATGGCTACAGGATGAATCTCTGTGGTCGTGGGCAGGCTGATGATGGTAGCCTCACCCAGAAGGTTGCAGATGCGTTGCTGCATGGGGGACAGCAGTACTGGGGCTACAGTTGGGCCACCACTGCCACTGCCACCACCTGTCCCAGGCCCACCAGATCCGTCCTCCTCAGTGGGTCCAGGGGCCTCACCACCTTCAACAGCTGCCCGGACCTGGGCAACCTTGCGACGGACCTCAGTCTTGAGATCAGACCATTTCTTTTTGACCTCGGGCAGCTCCCTTCGGCAGGTGGCCACGGCGTTGACCCTTCGTAAGATGCCGTGCCAGGCCGCACTCTTGGCGGCCAAAGGAACCCCTGCATTGAAGTGGTTCACCAGCAGGTGCTTCTTCAGCTCCAGCTCCTCCACGATGATCTCCACTTCCCGCTCAGAGAAGTTCATCTTCCTCTTCTTGGCTGGCACAGCCATGGCCTCTTCCCCTCCCTTCTTTTAAAATAAAGTATAATCCTTTCAACTGCCTAAATTCTCCTTCTAGTATTTTTTAGCCTCGCTTCTCACTTACCCCCCCTACAGGGGATAAGCTGGGCTTCCCCAAGGCCAAGTACCAGGCCTTTGGTAACCCCTCTCACTACGCAAAATGCGTAGGGCCCAGCCCGGACAGGCTTAGCCGCTGGCAGCCAGCTGCGTAATGGCTTCCTGAATCTGCCTCTTCCGCCGGGTATGCGGTGATCCGCCCACTTCCCCTCTTTCCCGCCTCCCTTTGCTTCTTTAGGGGAATCCGCCCTACCAAGTGGCCGCGGCAAAAGGATCGGAACGATCACTGGTTCTTTTCTTCTGTCTTTCAGCCGCGAAATCCCGCCTATTTAATGGAAATAGCCTATGCATTGGCTTAAGGGCGGGTCTGTCGATACAGATAGCTCCGCCTATCCAGCGTTTGTTCACTTCTATTGGAAAGTCATTCTGTCATTCACTTAACAGTACTATCACCAATAGTAGTCATTCACTAATCAGTAATACGAATATAATACAAATTTAACTTCAGCGTTTTCCTTTGTCGTTTAAGGAGTTATATAAGCAAAACGCAGCCTCCTGAGAATGTCTGGTGCTTTCGGCTTTGAGTCATTGTCATTTAATTTTTACAATTAATTTTAATTACACCAATGGAAGCAAATCCTACAGCTCACAACTAAAGTTCACATAAATCCTGCTCCCCATCAAAGACTGCGATCCTTTTATATCTAGTCTCTCCCAGCTTTACGACTCCGCAATATATATAGCATTTTTCAATGGAAATGGGACACGGGGCCTTCCGTCTGCCAATCATTGTCTTCTGCCTTTCGCTGCGTGGTTTCCTCTCCGGCCCGGTTCAGCCAATCCTGGACTACTTCAATTTGAATCAGCGCCTCACTTAGCTGGGATCGCCCCGCCCTCCCCATTGATGTTGAGGGTTTAAGGGATGTGGGCCGTCCCTTAAATAGGCTCCGCCCATTGCTAACCCCGCCCTAGTCGCCGTCTTGATTTGTGAGTGGTCGGCGCCGAGCCTGGGGCGTAGTGAGTGAGAGGGCGCGCGGTGGGGCGGGGCTCCCGGAAGCGGCCCCTCCCGCCCGCTTGCCGGCAGCTCTGAGCCCGCGAGCGTACCCGGCGTGTCTCCTGAGCTCGGCCCGCCAGCCCGCCGCCCCCGCTCGCGCCCGACGCCCCCTGCCTCGCGCCCGATGGTGAGCAGTGTGTTGTGCCGCTGCGTGGCTTCCCCGCCGCCGGACGCCGCCGCCACCGCTTCATCATCGTCTACCTCGTCGTCTGCATCCATCGGGGACCCGTGCGGCGGCGCCGTCTGCGGGGGCCCAGACCACCGGTTGCGCCTGTGGAGCCTCTTCCAGACACTCGACGTTAACCGCGACGGAGGCCTGTGTGTCAACGACCTGGCGGTGGGGCTGCGGCGCCTGGGACTGCACCGCACCGAGGGCGAGCTCCAAGTAGGTGACACGCAGTGTCCACGCGGGCGGACAGGGACCCCCTCTGCTGCTCCCCAGCACCCCTAAGGAGGGCCTTAGTGTCAGGTTTGAACGACGGGACTTGTTGGACTGCACCTATGTATGAGCTTGGCAGGTCTTGGTCGACCACCCCTTGATCCGAGCGGAACCCATAATGTTCGAAAGGGTAGTGCCCCCTGACTTACAGAAGGACCCTTTTGTGCCGTGGTTTGAGTGGAGACCTTTCCTGACTGTTGTGGCCACTAAATGAGCGTAGGTGTACACACTCTCTGGGCTTTCTGTTGGGTGATCAACCTCTTCCTGTCTGGGCTTCCCCCACAGTAGGACAAATCCCAGGTGCCTACAAGGCCAGGCTCGGTGCTCCCCACCTCCACCAGCAACCCCCTTTCCTCTGTTTCCATGTCACTCACCTCCACCAGCAACCCCCTTTCCTCTGTTTCCATGTCACTCACCTCCATCAGCAACCCCCTTTCCTCTGTTTCCATGTCACTCGTGGGCTGTGAGCTTGTTCCTCTCAGAAGCATGTGGGAATGGGAAAACGGGAACTGGGGTTTCTGGCAGATCTGTGATGATGTGGGTGGTGAGGACTGACAGTTTTCATGATTTCAGGCTCATTCGAGGGGAAAGGCATTCCCCAAAGTGAAAGTGGTGTAAAGAGGAGAGGAAGGAGGAGAGATTTGTTTTGTTCTCGAAGAGACCTTTTGTCAAGGGGTGTGTTTGGGGGTGTGTGTAGAAATAATCATCTCTAGGACTGTCCGAAAGAGAAATGATGTCCTTTCTCTTTGTAAGAACCAGGAGCTTGGGCTGTATTTTCCCCTTCTGTCTCTCTTGATATGTATTTTGATCTGATTTTGTAGCTGTACCTACCTTCTTCCCAGTATTTAATTTGATTACAGCCTGAAATAGAACTGCCAAGAGCTAATAACCTGTTTCTCTTCTAAGTGAGTTCCTTTGGCCCATTTGTATACACATCAGTAAACAACAGTAAGAGAGTCACTTAAAGCTAAGTATGAAAAATATCTGGTAAGAACACCAGTGAATTAAACCAGTTTGTTTTGGGTGAGTGTACACAGGTGCTTTTAAATTATGTTCTAGTTCAACAACCAAGTTCTTTATCTTTCATAGCATCAACCTAGGAAGGACCAAGGGTAATACTGTTCAAAATAGAATTACTGTATGAAGTCCAACAAATTAGAGAGCTTTAATAATATGTAAAGAGAAAAAAGCTAGTTTTAAACAAAATTATATAGTTGAGTGGTTCCACATACATAGCTATTTGGAAAGACAGCATGACTAAATTTAGAATTTGTACTTTAGGGGCTCAGGGAAGTGTGGGTCCCAATTTTTGCTTTTACGCACCTACCCACTTAGCATATGTCACCATTTGCATTGAGAGTATCTTAGATGTTTACACCACGTTTTGTGCCATAAATAGAGTCACAGTGTTCTTACAATTCATGGCACATCTGATAGTGATCCTAATCTTTTTTTTTTGGCAGTAAATGTCTAAGGGCAAATAAGGAGTGTGATGATTTTTCTCTCCAGTGTTGAAAGAAAGCTTTTTTGATTAACCAAAAGGAACATAGGCTGTTGTGGAATCACCTTAACCCTAAATTTTTTTTACTGTAAAAAAAGATAGTAGCATGTGGATATCTGACCTCTAACTTCATAAAGAGAGAGGAGAATGAAGAACATCAGCCTAAAGTTGATTCTTGTGAGACAGAGGTCAGATATAGATAGATACCTCCTTTCTCCAACCTTTTTACCAGTTCTTTAACCAGCTGTTCCTTCTCCAACTTCTTAAAGTCTACTTTTTTCTGAGTTCAGAAGTTAGTTTCAGTGACCACACAGAACTCAGAGACTTAGTTATAGGATTTACTTGGGAAGTTGTTATGGGCTGTCAAGTTGGAACCAATACATAGCAGATCCTCCAGCAGGTTTTTCAGAGGCCATGAATCACCCAAAAGGAGATTGCCCATCTTTCTCTCTAGGAGCAGCTGGTGGATTTGAACCATTTGCCTTTGTGTTGGCGGCATAGCCATAGCTCCTTAGCCACTCAGCAGAGAAGTAACAGGTTACAATTCCAAATCAGCAACAACTCTGGATACGGTTCTTTGGTCAGGACAGCTGCTTATCAGCTGCTTATCTTAGGCTGACCTTTCTAGGCTATAGGCCCCAAAGCTCAGCCTCTGCCCTGCTAATGCAATTGATAAAAAGCTCTTTAGTCTCTCGGGGCACCCTACTCAACCAGCAGCAATCAGGCCCAGAAGCAATCAGTTCCCTTGTGTGGGTCAGCATACCCACTGTAAGCACCGTACTCTGTGGGCCAGGAGGTCCACTGCATCATCTCACTGTCTTGACTGTGTCTGGTATTAAAACTCTGTCTCTATTTCATAGGTGTGGGAAATTCTGAGTGCAGGGACCCTGAATTTAAAGAAAATGCTCTCCAGTCTCAATGGTCCCCTCACCTACCTCTGAGATGACTCATTTTAAGCTTAGTGGGATGGTAGAACTGGTCAGTCCCCTTTTTAGGATTCCATGCACCTTATTTGTATGAGAGTAAGCTGTCCAATTTGCTTGGTAGGTACAAGCATTTCATTTGCCCATTTGGTGGGAGTTGCAAGACCATGATGAGAAAGGCCATGTAAGAGTGGTCTGTCTTGTCACCACAGACTTGGAATCTTTTTGATAGTAAACATCTTTTTGTTCTAATGTGTATTCTGTTTCTACAACTCTTCCTGTTTGGGAGTGGGCTGAATTGTTATACTGCTACAGGAGAGATTAGGAATGATCTCTTATCAATTTATTATACCTGTATAGGAGCACAAGCTAGTCCTGCAGTGAATTTTTAAAAAAAACACCAAAAAACTAGAGAAAGAATCTGCCAAAAGAAAGACACCCTACTTCTTGTACCGTATCTCACTTCTTGTTGAAGTAGTATCAATATTAATGACCTGCAGACAAAGCAGAGAGCCTCAATCCTCAATCCATACTGGACCAATTGGCAGCATCAAGATGGATGGTGAAGAGATTGAGATTGTCCACAGCTTTAGTTTGCTTGGCTCCACAGTCAACACTCTTGGCACCAGTAGCCAGGAAATTAAAAGATGTATTGCGATGGGAAAGTCTGCTGTTAGGGACCTCTCCAGAGTACTGAAGAGCAATGTTGTCTCTCTGGAGACTAAGGTGCATCTGATACAGGCCATGGTCTATGCTATCACTTGTTATACTTCAGAGAGTTGGACAATGACTAAGGAGGTTAGAAGGAGAATTGATGCCTTTGAGCTGTGGTGCTGGAGAAGAGTATTGAGGGTACCATGGACTGCTAGGAAAACAAACAAATTCATCCTGGAAAGGGTTAAACCAGGCAGCTCCCTGGAGGCAAGGATTTTGAGGCTCCGTCTAACATACTTTGGACATGTTGTAGGAGAGACCGGTCCTTGGAGAGGGACAGCGCAGGAGGGGAAGGCCCTCTAT